TTTTTTTTTTTTTTTTTTTTTTTGAGAAAAAGAAAACATAAAGAACTATATGTATTGCTCAAAAATAAATTTGAGCCAAAGATTTATGAAATCATTTCTATCCTTGAAAAAATGACTGAATAGAGGCTGAAACATTCACATTAACCTACCAGAACTTTGTGACTAGGGGGGAAAGTATCCAAAACTAGCATAGTACAAAAAAGTTTCAGCTTTCACCCTTTTTATTTTAAGCCCATTATAACTTCAGCCTAGCAAACTCACAGAGCTCAAGCACGCACAGCTTACCTGGCTGCACTGTCCTGCCAAGGAAAGGGCGGACAGGAGGAAGGGCAAATCCTCCTCTGCCTCCAGTGGTCATGTGATGCTAAGCATGTCCTTTGCCCCCTTCAAATGCAAGCTTCACCCCCTTCATAGCACCGTGGAGAGGGTAACATCTGGACGATAGTGGGTGCCCGCTAAATGGGAGCTTTCATTGCTTTGGCTCACGAGGCAAATTCATTTTCCAAGGGCTCTAGCAGAGACCCACATGTTCTCTCTGCCTGGAGTGTACTTTGCAAAAGGCATTTCCCTCTCCCTGTCTGTCTGAGACTTGACTTACCACTGAACCACATGATGAACATCATCTTCGGTGTGATTTTATGATCACGGAAGAAATTCAGGAGGTAGGAAAGAGGGAAAATGTTTACCGCTCTGCCAAACAGCACAAGCACCTGTTAACAGCAACAGACTAAGTCTTAGGTGAAAACGTCTGTGCTTCAAGCTGAAGCTTGTCAAAGCTAACGCAGACCCGGTGGCACACCCACTATAAGCGCAGATTCCCCTCAGTCATGGAAGACTTGAACGACACAACGCTCGTCAGAGACCCGGCATGGGTGTGCTGCTGCAGCCGCCAGGTTCTGTGCGTCTGGGGAAGGATGAAGCTCTGAACACTGCCTTTCAGTAGTCGGAAAAGAGAGGACTAATGAGGTATCAGCATGGGCTTTAGACAGCAGAACAAAACCGACCGCCAAGAGGCCATGCAGAAGTATCCAGAGATTAATTTAGGGCAACCTGACTCCAGAGGCGACCCACCATGGGACAGGCCTGGGCTAATCATTCCCACCAGGTTAGCTCTGGAGGGACAGACAAGGTGTTTCTGCCTCTCCTGGGGCCCGGCTCCTCAAGGAAAGGAGGGCAGGCTCTGGAGGGACTGCCTGTGCGTGCCTCCTGGTGCTCTCTGCGCCGGGAACTAGGAGGTAGAGTCTACGAGGGGGCCGGCCTAGCCAGTTGCTCGCCATGGCTTTTGATTCCTAACCATCTCCTAAGGCATGTTAGTGTTAGTCTTAACAAAATATAGCTTTATATACAGTTTAAATCTTATCTGAGTGGATTTGTAGAACTATTTATTACTTTCATTTCCTTCATCTTGGTTCTCACCATAACTAACTTGAAAAGGATGACATACACATGTACAATACATTCTTTAGGCTTTAAGTTTATTCTTTCAACAAGCATGAATTGAGTGCTTTGGGCGGTGTGCTTTGGATGGTCAAATTAACAATAATCGCTCCCAGTCATCAGACATTTCTATGGGAGACAATGTGCAAAGCATTTTATAGGCACTCTCTTGCTAAACTGAAATCCTTGCAAAGGTCCTATGAAGTAGGGATTGTTGTCTCCACTTTATAGACAAGGTACCTGAGGCACGGAGAAGTTAAGTAACTGGTCCGAGCTGACCAGGCAGGAAGTGGTGGACCCAAGTCTCCAGACCCCAAAGCCCACGTTCCTCACCACTAATCGGAGTCCAAAGGTGGGGACTGGAATCCATCTGACGGCACAGGCCGCCTCCACCAGCCCGTGGTCCAGCCTGTGCCTGTGCGCTCAGGGGAGACTGAGTGATCACCCAGGGCATCTCATTTCCTCCCAGCCGGCGGCTGAGACAGTCACCTCCTGTTTCACCCACTGAAACCCAATCTTCCATTCCTACACTTGCGTGTCAGCTTTGACCAAATGGGGCCCCTTTTCCCCGGTGACTACACTAAAGACTATTATACTTTCTGTAAAAGACTTTTGCTGCTATTCTCTTGTCCTGAAACCTGAGTTTGGTGGACAGATAAACAGTGACAAACAGCAACGAGCTCTTGCTGCTGAGAGTTGGAAAAACCCGGATTGCCAGGAGAATACCCTTTTCCTTAGGCTTCCTTATCTTCTCTGTGTCTCGGTTTCCCTACAGGCCAAACAGGTAGGCCTTACCAGTTTTAGTTTGCACACTGCAGGTGACAATGCTAAAAAAAATGTTTGTCTTCCCTTTTTTTTTAAAGAGACATGGTCTCACTAAATTGCTGCTCTTGAATTCCTGGCCTTAAGTGATCCCCCTGCCTCAGCCTCCTGTGTGGTTGGGATTACAGGTAGGAGCCACTGCTCTGGCAAAAGTTTGCCTTTTAATAGCTGTGCTTTGTTAAGTGGAGTTGGCAATAAAAATTAACTGAAGATGAATTATGATAATTCAACAACAATAAGGTATGTTTCTTAAGTGCCTTAAATTAACAGAGGATCTAAAACGACATCAAAGAAATCAACTTAGGGATTAGAGTGTCACTCAGCAGCAGGGCCTATGAGAGGTGAGCTCATGCTGAAGGAATAAAGACAGGAGGAAGAGCACAGATAAGGGACTTGAGGACACTTGGCTAAATGCCCAAGTATTAGGGGCCATTAATGTTACTCTGATTAGATGACTGAGGGAGCTGGACCTTTCTTTTAAAGGCTAAACATTGATTTTTCCTCCACTCCATTCCCAAAATGGATTTGATTCTGCTGCAAATGATTAAAATTCTCTTTTCCTTTTGTAAAGGTATATTTTTAACTTGTTTCCTACTGCCACTCCCAGTCCGATTATAACAATGTCTCCCAAATCTTCTTTT